TTTCATTGTTTTTACCATTATTATATTATCTGCAATAAAATATAATTGTTGTAATTGAAAGTAGAAAAAACGAAAAAAGAAAATAGAAATTATTCTGAATAAGTTCTTTTTTACTATAGGCATACGTAAAAATGTTACCTCTTTCAATTGATGTGTAATTATAATTAATAATTATTTTCCTCTTCAAAATTAGTTTTCTATACATCCTATCGAATTTCAACACAAATGTTTTTTCTCTTATCATTATCTATCGATTCTGAAGAAGTCCTCTATGTTGCGCGAACGAAAAGTAAATCCAAATTTTTGAAAAATCTATGCATGCTCAGAAAAACTTTCGATAGAGATTGTTTAGTCTCAAGAGTGTGTCTACAGAAATGTATTAATTATTAGTTTTCGATCATGTTACTGTCATTTGAACTTTTTTAAACTAAAATTTATAAAACGAAAAGAAATATCCTTCTACGAGTCATGTTGTTAACACTAGGTTCTTGATGATAATTTTGACGAAAAAAAAGCCTTCAGGTATAATTTTTTCAAAGGTACCTAGAATAACTGAACATATAATAATTAGCTCTAGGAAAGTTCATTATGTCGAAATATATGCTTTTTAATTTTGAAAATTCACGTTGCTCATGAATGGTTGTGCTCAAATATTCTTAGATATGCCATCAAAATAATATTGATTATGTTCTCAGAATAATATTCTATACAATTTAAAAAGTTATTTAAAATATTTATTAATTTAGCATATTAGAGATCTTCGGTATATTTGAAGATTCTATTTAAAATTTAATTTAATACAAATATTCTTTAATATATGTAAGACATAATTTATAATCAATGATATTCTATCTAATAACAATCTTTTATTCAATTATTGACATATAGTTAATCACATTATTAATAAACAATTGAGAAGAATAAAAGAATTAATTGAATCGATCATTTTGAATTTAGAAAAAAAATTCTATGACTCATTTATACAGTATTAAGTCTAACGAATTTCTTAAATTCTTCTAGCAATCTTCAGAATTCTCGCATGTTTTATCATTAAATGATGTTGATATCGAAGTCTAATACAATGATCAATAGCTATTTTTATATTAATAGTTATTCAACTAATTCACTATTTGTTATTACTAGAGTTGAATTACCATGAGTAGTTGATAATAGTTCACCTGCATGATTCTAATCTACTAGATAATACTGTACGAATATTTGAGTATTTCTAGCTACATAAACTTTGATTGATAATATACAATTAATAACATAATGTTTGTTTATCTAAAATGTTTTTCAAAGGTTTTCAAATAAAAGAGCAAATATCTTCAAGATGAAATTACTTAAAAAATTATCTTCGATTACCATAATAATACCAATAATATTTCGTTTCAGTTTTAGATTAAACTTTTGAATCACAATTGCTCACATATGCTAAACTATTACTTTGCTCAAAAGTTGATTTCCATGTAATAAATTCTAAAAGAAAAAAATTATCAAATTGAGAGCATAATATGAGAAAAGAATTTTTCAGCTTGTCTTCCAAATAAATGAGTCTATTTTATGAATATTTTATGACGGTGTAGATGTGGATGTGGATGCTCTGTATATCTTCTCTTCACCCACTCACATCAACATCCACACCCTTTTGCAGTTGTTTTCTTTCTTGTATTGAAGAAATAAGATGAATATGTCAATTTTTCTATATTCTTTACACAGTTCAGCTAATCATGACTATGTTGAAAATTATTAATTTTTATATTATCTTACTGAAAACTTGTCGCAAGTTCATACTAATGTTAGTTTCCTTTCTTTATCTGATACTGAAGGAAGTCTATCATTATTTATCATTGTCTGTTGTTCAACAATGCCAACAGTTTCACATCATACAAAAATGAATATCAATGCTTGTGGTCTATTTGAAATGTATTTCGTTTTACCAATATTTTTTTTTGTTTGCCGTTATTGTTTGTCTACTCTCCGTGTTGTGTATTTTACTGTTACCATGAGCAGTACCTCTCAAGAAAACGCTTGATTAACAGAAATTAAAAAAAACGAAAAAAAAAGAGAAAAAAGAAAAATAAGTAAAGCTTTTTTATGTTGCACAAGTAACACAAGAGTCCCTTGGCAAACAAACGACGCATTTTGCATATAAAACATTCAACCAAGTTGGAAATTATTGTTATTGAAACTTTTTGAAAAATTTTATTCTGATTATTGTATCTCGGTAAGTAACATATAACTATGGTTCCTTAGCAGATCTTCGAGTTTTTTAAACATCATAAGTATAACGAATGTATGGCTAGAATATTAATTACACAGAATCGAGACAAAAATGAAATGGATATTCATCACGAACTTCCGTTTATCTCATCGACTGATGATTTATTCTTAGTCAGAAGTCTATCGAGTGTATTTGCCTGGATGCATCGCACAATTTTATTGATTTAATCGTTCTTTCTTGTAGAATTTTATCTACATTTTACATGATTAGCTTTCTACGCGTGTGCCCTATGCTGTTCATGACCTTTTTTGCGATTATCGATATTGAGATCGAACTAACGTATGATCGAAAAGTTTTTGGACAAAATATTTGTTCACTTTTGACCAACTAGAAAGTATTTCGGACGAGCCAAAAGCTATATGTTAGAACCAGAATTTTGTGCTTTCTTCAAATATGGGCTCAGAAATTTTGTCCCAATTTTTGTTCGAGAATAGTGAAATGATCTTTGAGAAGTCCAAAAAATGAGTTTGGACGGAACTTGTTGGTTGAAATTCGTGATAAAGATGCTTTTTGATTTTGGCCGTCTTGAAACCAATTCGGACGAGTCAAAACTATAGGTTACGACTAAAATTTTGTGCTGTCTCTGAATATGGGCTTAAAAATGTTGTATCTTTTTTCTTCAAACGCAGTGACGATCTTTTTTGGAAAGACCTGAAAAATGATTACTCGTTTTTTAATGATGAAGTAACATGGTTTTCTCCACCCTATAAGCTCTTTTTTGAAGATGCTAAAAATTGTTCAAATCGGTCATTTTGTACAGCAAACAATTCTCTACAAAGTGTGATGTTGACATAAGCTGTAGCTTTTACTTAACTGTAGTCACAACCATTTTGTCAAGATCTCTTTTCGAAGTGGAACAGTTTTGGTCAAAAAGTCGGTTTTTCAAAAAATAACTATTCCGGAAAAAGAAAAATTGAGGGGTTTTGTCAAAAGAAAAAAAAAAGTGGAATGGTGCGTTTTGTAGAGCAATTTTTGATCTACAAGATGATCTATAAATAAAGACCCCAACTTTTCGTTTCGAGTTGTAGTAGTAAAAATACAAACGTGTGTGGAAAAACTCTCCGTCCAAACTCATTTTTCGGACTTCTCAAAGATTATTTCACTATTCTCGAACAAAAATTGGGACAAAATTTCTGAGCCCATATTTGAAGAGAGCACAAAATTCTGGTTCTAACATATAGCTTTTGACTCGTCCGTAATACTTTCTAGCTGGTCAAAAGTGAACAAATATTTTGTCCAAAAACTTTTCGATCATACGTTATCAAAATAATGTCACTGGTAGTTTCATAAGATAAGGACTAAAGACGACACTTTCACGCTTCGAAAGTTTGTCTATCGAGAAGAATGTGTGGATTGTTAACAGCGAGTGTGAAACCTTTGTGTAACATAGAAATGCTTAGCAGTGAAACCAAAAACCTTTCCAGGGTGGGTGTGGACGTGGGTGTAGGTGAAAATAAGAGTCTCATCCACTCACACACAATAACCACACTCCACATCCACACTCAAAACCCACACCCACATCCACACACCTACCCACTCACATCCTACTATGATTTCAGAAGACATAAGAATAACTATCTATCTATCGACTAAGTAAAACTCTGGCTAATTATTGAGAAGGAGAAATAATCCACCAACGAAAAAACTTCCTAGGAATTCTATTTTGATTTCAATGGTTTTCTTTTTATCTATAGATACCAAATAGTATTCTAATGCACGCTTGAATAGGATTTGGGTTTCAATAAGAACTTAGAGGAGCTATTGACTTTGTAATATTTCTATTATTCAGAAACTCCTGTAGAACCTTAGCTTTTCGGACAGATCGTATTTTCGACTTTCGTCTTAAAACTAACTCGATTTGAAGGTTTTAAGTACATTAGCTTGCATCAAGAGTTTCGAAATGTGTACAGGGTGTGAGTGTGTGGTTGTCCATATGTTGGGCGTACGTATGACATAGTTATGCTCACCCAGACACACCTTCAAAAAATATTCGAGTTACGAAATAGATTTTTCAGACAAAAATCATTTCCAACAATGGCTGAAGCAAAAAATCAAACCAAGACTGTATCAAGACGTAAAATGGCTCTTGTAATTGGTAATAGTGACTATGAATATCTTAAAAAGTTAAAAAATCCATCTAATGATGCCGATGCTATGGAATCTACGCTGAAACGTATTGGTTTCACGGTTACAAAGAAAAAAAATGCAACATATGACGAAATGGAGGATAGCATCACGAACTTTAAGCGAAAAATAGATAAAGGAGACATGGTCTTATTTTATTTTTCTGGCCATGGAGTACAATGGGAAGTACGTATTCAAGGTTTTACGAATATGAATTGATTTTGTTTTTATTTTTGACGAGTTTATACGACTGATCTAAAACGGAGAGACTCTTCTGACGACATAATACCAAATTCCATTATGGAAAAATTGTCTGTTTTTCTCTGATACAGTAGAGAGGCTTTCGTCCGTGCTTTTAGATGAAAATTTTTTACTCAGAAAAAAGATTAAAAATACTTAGTCATGCCGAGTACAACGGACAAGTCTTGAAAATAGCATTTTATAATGCTTCTAGGATCAAAATTTCTTGATACCTATAGAACATGCTGGCAGCAATGATGCTGATATTCAACAAATTATGTTATCTCTAAAGAAAATGACACTCCAAACGGCAGACAATGCAAATATAGATTACAAACAGTTAAAGCCATATATGATTCATGCACAAAGATTCCTGGAAGATTTCAGTGATCGACGTCCATTTGTAATAATATGTCTTTTGGACTGTTGTCGAGTGTACTGCCTTCGTAATCCTGATTTAAAGAAAATAACTGCGCGAACCCCTTTTTCAAGTACCTCGAAACTCAGTAATCGCAAAGATCTTGTTATGGCTGGATTGTTAGTAGGATTCGCCTGTGCACCTGGAGCTGAGGCAGATGACAACGAAGAACAAGACAATGCTTTATTTACAAAGCATCTTCTGAAACATATTGAAACACCTGATGCTGATATTTCAAAGGTATTACGTGCTGTTAATGGAGCAGTGATAGCAGAATCAAACTCAAGACAAATACCATATTACATCGATGCATTATTAACCACAGATGATATATGTTTGTGCGAAAAAATCTCAGGTAAATATTAAAACTTTGAATGAAAACAATCAGAGAACAAGACTATGCTATTATTATCTAAAATAATTTAAAGCAAAGAGTTCATGCTAGTCTTTCGCTTGAAAATCAAACTCGGTCAGTAAGTTTCGACATCAGTGTTTTTCATATATATCACTCAATGCCTATCGATACGCTAGCCTCAATTCGGAATCACGTCACTCCTCATTTTCTCATGTGAATCAATGCAGTATGTTTTGCTTCAGCTTTTTCAAGTGTATTCTCCTGTCCAGATTTATTTGAATAATTTATTTTCATACCTTAACAGTGTTTATATGAATATTGCATGTGCACAGGATGAGTTAAGATCTTCTTTTCACTCGTACTCAGTCAGACACGTATAGACAATGCTCGAAATAAGTTTTCACAGCGAATTATTCTCTGGCTTCAATCAAAGGGAAAGTCTTTACAACTATGAAGTCAAAAGGGCACCTTGTAAGCTGACGACTGTCGAAAAAAGCCTACATTTTTCTAGTTGGATAGATGAAGACAACGAATAAAAAATTGCCCGACACGATATATTAAACGCCACTACATATTTTGATCGAGTTTCTTTTCATTAGAAATGGTTAGAAAAACATTTTTTCGACCGCAGCAGGTCTCTCAGAAGCCAAAAGAATTCCATTTCAAAGCATTGCTTACAAATTTTCAACTTGTTACAGAGCTTTTATTTTGCGTTAATCAAAAGCTGTTGCAGTACTCTAGTAAAAAGTAACGAAGAGTACAGCTTATTGAGTTTTTGCGTTTTTTATTCATATTTTTATGAGCTGCAACTTTCAATGACCGTGGTGGTGAAGGAGTACAATCAGTGAAACAAATTGAACGAATAGTCATTGTTAAATCTAATCGTGAGCTCTCTTACCATAGATAGTACAGAAATGGCAAAAAGGTTACTACAAAAATCATTGAAAGATAAATGCCAAAGGAGATAACTCCGAAAAATGCTTCTCAGCAAAGACCAGAATCTTGACTTAACATATTGATAGAAAACCGAACAAAAGTGCAGAAGGCAATATGCTATTAAACTTTTTATTATGAATGCCATTGAACACGAAGTTGCCTATTTCAGAGCACAAAATTGATGAACTTTAATGAAGTAAAATAAATCTTTGAATGTTGCGAAAAGACAACGTCAGAAACTTGTCAGGAAAAAATCTAAAAGTTCTTCGTGTGCGAATTTAGGCGCAGAGTAGACTCGGATCCACACCTTCTGTTAAGAAGAGTTTAATCGAATAGACTTTTTTAATTCTGTCAAATCTTGCTAAACTACGCAATGTATGCTTTAGTATCATTATATTTTCGTTTCTTTTGTTTGCATATAGCTAGTTATTATCTGTAAATATTGGCAAATCTTTAGATCAACTCGTTATATATAAAAGAGAATTATCGCTTCCCGAAAAAAGAAAATTTTAACAGATTTCCTAGAATAAGTTTCAATTGTAAAATAAAGCACGAGTTTTAAGGAATATTCATATGAGAGCCAATGTGTCATTCTCCAATTGGATTATGAAAGTTTGAGTTTCTATTTTCTTGAATATCATCTTTCAAGAAAATAAAAAGCTGTCAGTGAATTTTCGTAGGCATTCCCATCATATCCGTTTCTATTCTGTATAATTTAATTTCTGCTATACAACGTACAAATTAAAATCATTCTATCCCTCTCTCCTGTTCATGTCTCTTGGTCTGTTAACAGTCCCCACTTGGCTTTAATTTATAGATAAATATATTTAAAAATAACTCCTTTTTTCGGTCTGATTAGAGCATGTATTTGCTGTCAATTAGTGTTTTCAATCGTAAAAAGACAAAGAGATCAACTGTATCACTCGTTTCTTCATCTTTCTGTGGCAATATCTGGTCTTGTGAAAGTATTTTGATCCTAGCTCGTCAAAGAGGTATCTTTTTTTCTTAGATTGGTTATTTTGTAACTCAGCATGGCATGTTCATTTTCTC